ATCGTCAATATCAGAATCTGACTGAAATATTATTCCCAAAGTCATAAATATTAATTCCTTTCATTTTAAGATTAGGTTTTGCACTTGAGAAGAACGTGAAATAGAAATGTTTCTGTTTTCTCTGGATTCAATTTTACTTGCTTTCATCCATTTGGTAATTTTCTCCAAATCGGCATTAATATTTTACGCAGTAGTATTTGGAATTGTCCATTTTGGGAATTGTCTGGACCCCACCACACAGTAACAAAAATTCCAATGTGAATAAAATGTACAATAGTTTGTTGGCTCGACATGCAAGACTCCATAATTTTAGTTATAATGTAAAAGTCATAGTAGTATTAAATTATATTTTTTTTAAATCATTAATGTATTTGACATGGAAGACGAAGCGACACATTGTATTTTATAATAATGCACCCTTTTGAATGCTTTAAACCTGTTGCATTTAACAAATACAGGATTTGATGTTGTCATATAGTGAATCAATATGTGTCTAGTCTTCCAAATGTTCTATTGCGAACACATATAGTGTCAGCGCTCATGATTGCCATATCTATGAATGAACATATCATCATTAATAAACTCACCTGAGCTCACTGTGGGTTCTGAAGACAAATCGCTGTAAGGCATCCTCCACGGCTTCGTTCACGTTCACCCTCAAATGTACGATAGAAATATCTGCGATTGGGCGTGTTCAATGTTCGAATGCATTTTGGCGACAGGCGTCCGTTTATTTATCAATATTCCACTAATTCATAAATCACATTGAGTTGCTCGCCTCTTATCCAGTTGCTCACACTCTCAACTGATGTAGCTGCCTTGATTAACTGGCGTGCGGATATAACTAATTACAAACTCTGTTCTAATTATGCTAATCGAGGAAGTGCAATGGAAACAAATTAAGAACTTATAGATTATTTCAACAAGAAATTGAAACATGCCATTATGTTAAAATGTCTCTACCAAGGCAATATAGAACTGTATTAGCATCATTGCGTTGTGGTAACCTGCCAATTAATATAGTATGTGGAAGATATACCAAGCCCATCACTCCTCTTTCAGAAAGACTAGTTACTCTCTGTGACAAGCAAGCCATAGAGGATGAATTTCATTTTGTTGTAGAGTGCAACTTCTATAAAGATATCAGACTATCCATATTTAACATAGCTAAAATATGTAGTATATTATTTGTGAGAGAAGGTGATTAAGTAGAAAATTTGAAATATGACAGACTGACCAAGGGGATTGGGGATAAACAGAATGACTGGATTTAAGTATATGCATGACTGTGTGACATGGTGTGACTTGGGGCGTATATGGGTGTGTGCTAGGAAGGGTTGGGCAGATTGAATAAAGAATGGTCGATTGACACGGTTGAACTTGTGCATGATTGAATGTGTGTGGGTCATAATGAATAATGCGTGTGATTGAGTGACCGGGTTGAATTTTTGTGACTCGCTGATCTGGGACATGTATATGGGGGGAAGGGGTGGGGGGGGGGGGGGGGGTGGGGGGTGTGCTAAGGTGTGTGAACTGGTGACAAGGTTGAACTTGGGTGAGAGTATATGTCCGTGTGTGGGGAGAGGGGGGGGAGAGGGCGGGGTGGGGGGGGGGGGGGGGGTGGGGGGGGGGGGGGGGGGGTGTGCTGTATACATATGAAGATATTAGTTATAATGTTTTATTTATGTATTTTATTGATTGTATAATTTTAGGTGTCTTTTAGGCCAGTAATGGCCAGGTGTATTATGTACACGTGACACATTAATAAACTATATTAATATTAATTTTAATATACTGGATGCCAAATTTAGTAATCTTTTCACACTAATGATCCTTGTTTACAATGAACGCATGTCAATTGACGAAACAAACATCCTTAAGTAGAAGTATCACAATGGGCGGCGTATACAACTGTTTGTCAAACAATATCAACCAATATTTTATATTTAGAATCACCATAACATGAAATCACAGAACAATTATATTAAATTTTACTTTGAAAACTAATGTCGTGAACGTAATATAATAGGAATTTATTCCAACAAAGTGTTTCCCATATATATGTTTCCTTGTACAATTTTAAATAAATGGACTTTTTATCTGTTATTTTGCAATGATCGTGACAATCGCGAAAAGGCTACTCACTTGCTATTCCGTTTATTGGTTATTCTAGTTTAGGCAGCGACAGCCTCTCGTTATACAAACAGTGCTTTTCTAACCCCGATTTAGTTAAGACAGCGTCAGTCTTTCGCTATACAAACAGTGTTTTTTCTAACCCTGATTTAGTTAAGACAGCGGCAGCCTTTCGTTATAGAAACAGTGCTTTTTTCTAACAGCGATCTAGTTAAGACAGAGGTATTATTTATATTATTGATCTGTTACTAAAATCTGCACAAATGTTCTATTTCTTATGTAAAATGCTGTCAACATAAAGAAATACAAATTATTTCATAACACTCCAAATATAGTTGCCATAAATAAAAAAGTATTAACGTATTATTGTCACGTGCAATAATACTGTTCGGCAACATTACTAATAATTTCAAACCCCCCAAAATACCGATTTACGAATGAAGAAAATCAATGAAGCAGTGGTAAAATCTATCCATATAAACAAAATTGTATATTTTTGGATATACCAACTATACAAAATTGTATATTTTGGAACTACCAAATATACAAAATTGTATATTTTGTATATATTGGAATTTTCCCTTGTGCATGGCCGGCGAGGCCATTGGCATTCCATTGAAAAATGTTTAGGCCTTCCATTGGGAAACTGGGTGGATTTATGTTTGGTTTAGGTATTTACTTTAGTAGGTCATTAAGGTTGCTGCTGAAACGGTCGAAAGGGGTGGTGACGAGTTTTAATTTATGTGCTACACCAAAGAAGGCTTTGGAGCTGGCTCCTGGATTAGACTGCTTTAACATGTAAGCTAGTAGGAGGACTAAGTAAAACAAAACAAACACCAAATAGCACCGCTTATTAGTACCGCTGACTAGCTAGAGTACTTCCTAAAACACAACAGTGTTTTCCTAAAACAACACTTACATTATATCAGTATTTATTTTGTTATCGGAGTTGGTGTCAACAAAATGGAAGGCAAACGACAAGGCAAAAGGTGTAGATCTGAGTATAAGTGTGATAAAGCCTATCCATACCCGCTGAGTCGTGTCGGCCTTTGATTGCATGTGTTGTATGGATGGCGTCGTCTGGTGGTGACTCACTGATGCCTCGTTTGACACGACTGAGTAGAAATCCTCGCCACCGGACGTCCATTATGTAATTTCTAGTGTTTGAATGACACATTGTTCTCAATAACCGTGATTTGGAAATAGATAGTTGTTTGTTTTTATATTCAGGTTCGTATTTCCTCTATGCAATTAATTAAGTTCACTAAGCATATTTTTGCATTTAATTAATTGTTTTAAAATCACCTACGTCTGTACAGTTGAATTATGTTTAAGTAAATAGTAAGGAAATTTCAACATTCTCTCCCAGTTGAAAATGATAACACATACGACCCCTATAGTGGTCAAGAGGGGATATTACTTTACCGCCAGAAAGCGATAGAGCGAGAAAGGATGTCCCCTCTCGGCCTCCATACAAGACTGGTGTATTTGCTAAACGAAAAGAACATGCTATTGCTTTTAGGATAAAGGCCACAAAATCCTCGTTCCAAAATCATCAGAAATCTCTGATATGTCTTATACGATTATGATTATATTCTAAGGATGTGGTTATGAAATAGTGACAATATCAATTGTTCCCCCAAAAATGATAACATGTATCGTTGACAGAGGCGGATCCCTTTAACATAGGATTGGTGGAGCGGCGCATTTTCAGAGGGGTGTGTAGGTGTCCCACATGCAGGGTGTTTAAAAGAGGGGACAGTTATATTCTTAGAGTGGTAGGGATGTCAGGGTTTTACGCAACGCGGAGTCCAGTACGCACAAGTGCGTAGAGTGAGTGAGTAAGGTTTTACGCCGCTTTTAGCAATATTCCAGCAATATCACGGTGGGGAACATCAGGAATGGGCTTCACACATTGTACCCATGTCGGGAATCGAACCCGGGTCTTCGGCGTGACGAGCGAACGCTTTAACCACTAGGCTACCCGACCACCCCTACACACAAGTGTTTAGAAGGGGTGTAGAATATGTTTATTGCATCCTGAGGGAAGCACAATAATATTCATTTTACCTTTGTTTGTTTGTTTGTTATTTAACGCCGCATTATTCCACCTATATGACGGCGGTCTGTAAATCATCGAGCCTGGGCCAGACAATCCAGTGATTGAGATCATGAGCATCGATCCACGCAATTGGGATACGATGACATTCATCAACCAAGTCAGAAAGGCTGACCACCCGATCCCGTTAGTCGCCTCTTACGACAATTCTTGACAAGAGATATAAAGGTCAGGTTAGTAAAGTAATGATCAAATCCTACAGTAAAGTACACACCACTATTTCAGTACTTTACAGGATCCTCATATTTCATAAAAGGATCACTGAAAATTACTGGGTACCTTGGACCCCTACTTTTGTAGGTCAAGGTTAAACCCTTGGGTGTCTCATTTCGAATTGTAAACCTTTAGTTTAGGTTTGTTTAGTTGGTTGGTTGGTTGGTTGGTTGTTTAACGCCGCACTCAGCAATATTCCAGCTATATGACGGCGGTCTGTAAATAATAGAGTCTGGACCAGACAATCCCGTGATTAATATCATGAGCATCGATACACGCAAGTGGGATCGATGACATGCATCAGCCAAGTCAGCGAGCCTGACCACCCGATCCCGTTAGTCGCCATTTACGACAAGCATAGTCACCTTTTACGGCAAACATGGGTTGCTGAAGACCTAGTCTACCCCGGAATCTTCACGGGTCCTTTAGTTGAAGGAGGAGTAGTGGGAGGGCCAACCTAAAAACACTACCACCCTACCACCGACCCCCGGGCCCGCCACTATTCAGTGGGGGACATCAGTCGATCTACCCTTACCTATTAGCCGCGCTATCAGCAGTTGGAGGCCCAGGCCAAGTGAACGCTGCTTGTGAGGTACACACCTGAATGTAAAAGAAATCATCCGCATGTGGCAGACATTATTTCTTTCAGAAGAACACGAATGGCAATGACGTATCAAGGAACGTCATAAATGGTAATCGTCCAAATAGAGGAAACTTCATGTTTGTGACGGGGGCACGGGTGGCCCAGTCGTCTAAGGCACCGCGATTCGCTGTGCAGAGTTGCGTCCCTTGGGCACCCCAGAAACCTCTGATTGTGGGTTCGAATCCCGATTCTCCCCGATTATGTTTTTAGGTTTGTCAGCACCATACCCGTGCTTATGGGTTTCACCGAAGTGGTAAACGTCTGAGACCTGCATCACTTCGGGCTTTCCTCCCACATTAAGCTGACACGCCGCGATGTAACTGGAATACTGTTAAAAGCGGCGTTAAACCCAATTCACTCACTCACTCATGTTTATTGACAAAATAGTGACGTCACGGGACATGGTTTCGCACAGGCTTTCAGTACAGTCTATAGCTACCTCGTCGTCACGTCGAGGACCCGGGTTCGATTCCCGACATGGGTACAATGTGTGAAGCCCATTTCTGGTGTCCCCTGCTGTGATAATTCTGGAATATTGCTACAAGCGGCGTAAAACCAAACTCACACACTCACTATAGCTACATTGCATCTCTCCACGCGTCTTGGTGGGGCCATTGCCCGAGTGTGTGCTCCTGAGGGCGTCTGTTTGCATCGGTGCAGCCGTATGACGCCGGGTTACACCAATGGTGAACGTCATGCATCTTCCCGAGGCAAGGGAGTTAACTGACTATAAAAGTCCAGGTTCTAATCCCTTGCGTCGGGAAGGTGGGTCTTTGACGTGACGTAGAAACGTTTGGACCACTGGGGTTAAAGTAACCGCCAGGGGTTAGTGAGAGTATGAGCAGCAGAATGAGTGAGAGAGTTGGGTTTAACGCCGCTTTTAACAGGATTCCTGTTATATCGCTGTGTGTTAGCTTAATGTGGGAGGATAGCCCGAAGTGATGCAGGTCTCAGACGTTTACCACTTCGGTGAAACCCATAAGCACGGGCATGGTACTGACAAACATAGAAACATAATCGGGGCGAATCGGGATTTGAACCCAAAATGATAGGTTTCTGGCGTGCCCAAGGGACGCAACTCTGCCTAGCGAATCGCGGCGCCTTAGACGACTGGGCCACCCGTGCCTCTTAGTAGCAGAGAGTGGGTTATGATCAATAGTATGCATATGCAGTAACATGCCAAATTGCATAAAAACAAGCAACAAACAAGTTTCATTAGAACAGACGGCAGTCACGGCACGCAAGTCTTGTGTACATAGCTCACTTGTACATAGCTCACCTGTACATAGCTCACCTGAACATACATCACCTGAACATAGCTCACCGGTACATAGCTCGCCTGCACATAGCTCGCCTGTACATAGCTCACCTGCACATAGCTCACTGTACATAGCTCACCTGAACATAGCTCACCTGCACATAGCTCACCTGTACATAGCTCACCTGTACATAGCTCACCTGAACATAGCTCACCCGTACATAGCTCATCTGAACATAGCTCACCTGAAAAGCGCGGAGACCGTGGGCGCCATCGTGGAGAAGGTGAACAACATGATGAAGAAAAACAACACCGAGAACACGTAGAGCCAAAAACAACTCTCTGCGCATGTCCCTGGTCGAACCCACTGCATGGTCACAGTATCCCGGGTGGCCATGGAACTGTTCAGGGTACGGTGACTGGGTAGTTTCTTGTCAAAACAAGAACAGTTCTCATAAATCTGAAACATTGCATACAAAGCCAATATCAGTAAATAGTTACAGACAGCAATTCATGCATTACTTTCAATTTCATTTTGATCCTCAATACTTGTTTGAATACTTAATTTGAGTATACTAGTAAGGGTCATGAGAGATGGGTCTACAGCTATTCGGCTTATTGTCCATTTTACTGCTTGGCTTTAACTTCTCGTGCATGTTTGGGCTCGGGTGGCCTCTCGTTTAAGGCGCCGCAATTCGCTGTGCAGAGTTGCCTCCCTTGGGCACGCCAATAATCTATGTTTGTGGGTTCGAATCCCAATTCGCTCCGATTATGTTTCTTGATTCGTCAACACCATGCTTTTCCCCCCACATTAAGCAGACACGCCGTGATATAACTGGAATACTGTTCAAAGCGGCGATTATTTTAAACTCAACGCACTCACATACACTCACGCACTCTAGTACAGGTTACACAATAAAGAACGTTTTGGACATCAATGCATTTAAAATGTCTTGGACTGACTGACGGAGTATGGTTTTACGCCGCTTTTAGCACTATTCCAGCAATATCACGGCGGGGGACACCAGAAATGGGCTTCAAACATTGTACCCATGTCGGGAATCTAACCCTGGTCTTCGGTGTGACGAGCGAACGCTTTAACCACTAGGCTACCCGACCGCCCCTAAATGTCTTGGAACTTATGTGCAAGTTGAAAATACAAACGATTTTTTTCCGAAACAGTTTTCTAGTCTACTTTTGTTTATTACCTTTGTTCCATTCAGCGTTGTATATGAGGTACATCCCGCGTGGCATGGCGAGAAATATACGATGGTTGAGTTGACACATAACGGTTCGAACCCAGCGGTAGTACATCCACACCCAGAGTTGCAGTCTGACGTTAGACCTCCAGCTGGGATATCTCTGAAGATTATATAGAACAACCATCACCATGGAGACACAACAAACAAACGTGGAAGCACAAAACAGTCAACGTTGGGGGTACACAAAGCATTCAAGCCGTGAAGATCCGGGGTAGAATAGGTCTTCAGCAACCCATGCTTGCCTTAAAAAGCGACTTTGCTTGTCGTAAGAGGCGACTAACGGGATCGGGTGGTCAGACTCGCTGACTGCATGTCATCGTATCCCAATAGCGTGGATCGATGCTCATGATGTCAATCACTGGATTGTCTGGTCCAGATTAGATTATTTACAGACAGCTGTCATATAGCTGGAATATTACTCAGTGCGGCATTAAAAAAACACACAAACAAAAACAGTCAACGTTTGGGAGACACAAAACAGCCAACGTTTGGGAGGCACCAAACAGACAACGTTTGGGAGCCACAAAACAGACAACGTTTTGGAGACACCTAACTGACAACTTCTGTGAGACACAAAACAGTCAACGTTTGGGAGACACAAAACAGTCAACGTTTGGGAGACACCAAACAGTCAACGTCTGGGAGACACCAAACAGACAACGTTTGGGAGACACAAAACAGTCAACGTTTTGGAGACACAAAACAGTCAACATTTGGGAGACACAAACAGTCAACGTTTGGGAGACACAAAACAGACAACGTTTGGGAGACACAAAACAGACAACGTTTGGGAGACACAAAACAGACAACGTTTGGGAGACACAAAACAGTCAACATTTGGGAGACACAAACAGTCAACGTCTGGGAGACACCAAACAGACAACGTGTGGGAGACACAAAACAGTCAACGTTTGGGAGACACAAAACAGACAACGTTTGGGAGGCACCAAACAGTCAACGTTTGGGAGACACCAAACAGTCAACGTCCGGGAGACACCAAACAGACAACGTTTGGGAGACACAAAACAGTCAACGTTTTGGAGACACAAAACAGACAACGTCTGGGAGACACAAACAGTCAACGTTTGGGAGGCACCAAACAGTCAACGTTTGGGAGGCACCAAACAGTCAACGTTTGGGAGACACCAAACAGACAACGTCTGGGAGACACAAACAGTCAACGTTTGGGAGACACAAAACAGTCAACGTTTTGGAGACACAAAACAGACAACGTTTGGGAGACACAAACAGTCAAAGTTTGGGGGACACCAAACAGACAAAGTTTGGGAGACACAAAACAGACAACGTTTGGGAGACACCAAACAGACAAAGTTTGGGAGGCACAAACAGTCAACGTTTGGGAGGCACAAAACAGTCGACGTTTTGGAGACACCAAACAGACAACGTTTGGGAGACACAAACAGTCAACGTTTGGGAGACACAAAACAGTCAACGTTTTGGAGACACAAAACAGACAACGTTTGGGAGACACAAACAGTCAACGTTTGGGAGACACCAAACAGACAACGTTTGGGAGACACAAAACAGTCAACGTTTGGGAGACACCAAACAGACAAAGTTTGGGAGGCACCAAACAGTCAACGTTTGGGAGGCACAAGACAGTCAACGTTTGGGAGACACAAAAAAGTCAACGTTTGGGAGACACCAAACAGTCAACGTTTGGGAGACACCAAACAGACAACGTTTGGGAGACACAAAACAGTCAACGTTTTGGAAACACAAAACAGACAACGTTTGGGAGACACAAAACAGACAACGTTTGGGAGACACCAAACAGACAAAGTTTGGGAGGCACCAAACAGTCAACGTTTGGGAGGCACAAAACAGTCAACGTTTGGGAGACACAAAAAAGTCAACGTTTGGGAGACACCAAACAGTCAACGTTTGGGAGACACCAAACAGACAACGTTTGGGAGACACAAAACAGTCAACGTTTTGGAAACACAAAACAGACAACGTTTGGGAGACACAAAATAGTCAACGTTTGGGAGACACAAAACAGACAACGTTTGGGAGGCACCAAACAGTCAACGTTTGGGAGACACAAACAGTCAACGTTTGGGAGGCACCAAACAGACAACGTTTGGGAGACACAAAACAGTCAACGTTTGGGAGACACCAAACAGTCAACGTTTGGGAGACACCAAACAGTCAACGTTTGGGAGACACCAAACAGTCAACGTTTGGGAGACACAAAATAGTCAACGTTTGGGAGACACAAAACAGACAAAGTTTGGGAGACACAAAACAGACAACGTTTGGGAGACACCAAACAGACAAAGTTTGGGAGGCACAAACAGTCAACGTTTGGGAGGCACAAAACAGTCAACGTTTTGGAGACACCAAACAGACAACGTTTGGGAGACACAAACAGTCAACGTTTGGGAGACACAAAACAGTCAACGTTTTGGAGACACAAAACAGACAACGTTTGGGAGACACAAACAGTCAACGTTTGGGAGACACCAAACAGACAACGTTTGGGAGGCACAAAATAGACAACGTTTGGGAGACACCAAACAGACAAAGTTTGGGAGGCACCAAACAGTCAACGTTTGGGAGGCACAAAACAGTCAACGTTTGGGAGACACAAAAAAGTCAACGTTTGGGAGACACCAAACAGTCAACGTTTGGGAGACACCAAACAGACAACGTTTGGGAGACACAAAACAGTCAACGTTTTGGAAACACAAAACAGACAACGTTTGGGAGACACAAAATAGTCAACGTTTGGGAGACACAAAACAGACAACGTTTGGGAGGCACCAAACAGTCAACGTTTGGGAGACACCAAACAGTCAACGTTTGGGAGACACAAAACAGTCAACGTTTTGGAGACACAAAACAGACAACGTTTGGGAGACACAAACAGTCAACGTTTGGGAGACACCAAACAGACAAAGTTTGGGAGACACAAAACAGACAACGTTTGGGAGACACCAAACAGTCAACGTTTGGGAGACACCAAACAGACAACGTTTGGGAGACACCAAACAGTCAACGTTTGGGAGACACGAAACAGTCAACGTTTGGGAGACACAAAACATACAACGTTTGGGAGACACCAAACAGACAACGTCTTGGAGACACCAAACAGACAACGTTTGGGAGACACAAAACAGTCAACGTTTGGGAGACACAAAACAGACAACGTTTGGGAGGCACCAAACAGTGAACGTTTGGGAGACACCAAACAGTCAATGTCTGAGGGACACAGAATACGGCTGATTTCAATTCACTGTTATCATGATCACTAGTTTCTGTATTTAAGCGAGATCTATATAGACACGATATGGATAAGATGGGACACTAACATGCCGGCCTGGTACGACGTGGTGATGCCGGACAGAGGAGTATCTTCACACCATGCCAGGAAGGAAGGAGCCAACAGGAGACTCACAGCGGCGGACGCGGCACACAGGCGCAGAATACCCCGACATTTTAAATCCAAGCGTTTCACGAGGTACCCGCCCAGGATCATCCCCCCGCCAGCACCTGGCACCGTCACGATACCTGCAGACAACAACGTGACAGTATCAACCCCTGCCGTACCCGTCTCCGTGACAACAACGTGACAGTACCAAACCCCGCCCACACCCGTCACAGTCACTATACCAGCACACAACGTGACAGTACCAACCTCCGCCCACAACCGTCACCGTCACAATACCTGCAGAAAACGTGACAGTATCAATCCCTGCCCACACCCGTCACCGTCATGACACCTGCAGACAACGTGACAGTATCAATCCCTGCCCACAACCGTCACCGTCACGACACCTGCAGAAAACGTGACAGTACCAAACCCCGCCCACACCCGTCACCGTCACGACACCTGCAGACAACGTGACAGTATCAATCCCTGCCCACAACCGTCACCGTCACGACACCTGCAGACAACGTGACAATACCACCCCCTTCCCACACCCGTCACCGTCACGATACCTGCAGACAGCGTGACAGTACCAACCCCCTCCCACACCCGCCACCGTCACGACACCTGCAGACAACGTGACAGTCTCAACCCCCGCCCACAACCGTCCCCGTCACGATACCTGCAGACAACGCGACAGTACCAAACCCCGCCCACAACCGTCACCGTCACAATACCTGCAGAAAACGTGACAGTATCAATCCCTGCCCACACCCGTCACCGTCATGACACCTGCAGACAACTTGACAATACCACCCCCCTCCCACACCCGTCACCGTCACGATACCTGCAGACAGCGTGACAGTACCAACCCCCTCCCACACTCCCTGGTTACCATGACGTCACAATCAAATGACATCACTAATGGCTCTGCTACTGAAGCTGTTAGCAGTACTTTTTACACTGAAGACACTGCTAATTACTGTCTACTAATTGAAAAAGTTGGAAGAATGATGTTGGATGATAAATAAAATCTCACCCTCGTGTCAAAAGACACTCGGGTGAGATTCTCTATACATAGTCCTGTGTTCCACCCACCCATAATGAGACCAGCGGTTGTGATGTCAGCGTGGAACTTCTGCTGCAGCAATTTTGCCCCAAATGTTGCTAATCCTGTCACAATCATCGCTTCTACAGTTGCCCCCAAGCACGTCAGAACATAAGTGGGGTTCTTCAACTGAAGTAGATAAATCAGAGGTTTCAAAATGTGTATATCTCATATATGTATAGGTTTCCATTCAGACTCGGAGGATTATCATCACACGGCAGTTCTACATCACACGATAATGAAGGCAGGCAGGTAGGAGACATTTAATAATTTGGTGACAGAAAAACACCAGAAAAAATGTCCTCATGTTAAAAAAAATACAACATACTTAGTTCGCTGGACATGCTAAAAAAATTAAGTGTTGTGACAAAACCAGTAAATTGTACGGATCACAGAAGAAAAAAACCATTTGCGTTTGGAAGCAGTTGTCCGTCCTCGGAGATATTCCAACCATGACATTGAAACCATGGCGTCAAAATCGAAAGACATCACCCATTTCTCTGCCACAGAAGCTGATTAACTGTTCATTTCACACCCAGGGGCGGTCGGGTAGCCTAGTGGTTTAAGCGTTCGCCCGGCACGTCGAAGACTCGACTTCGATTCCCGACATGGGTACAATGTGTGAAGCCCATTTCTGGTGTCAACCGCCGTGGTTTTGCCGGAATATTGCTAAAAGCGGCGTAAAACCACACTCACTCACTCATTTCACACCCAAGACACTGTTGAGAAAGTTGAAAGAATGATTTGGGATGATAAATAGAATCTACCCCGTGTGTCAACCTCGGCAAGCTTCGGAGATTTAAAACTTTTGTGTTTTTATTGATGTGTTATTTTTTGGTGTAGCTATTGGTTACACTCTCCGACTTATAAATGGGAAATTGTGGTTTGTAACCATTATATCAGCACTGATTATCAAACGAGCAGAAGCATCCACATACAAGAAGCAACACTGCAGTGGGGAAGTCTCTGATGTTCTTCCCAAAGCCCGGTGTGGCTGTTACATCCTCCGCCCCGTCAGTATGTGCCTCTGACTTCCGTTTCAGCTGCAATGCAGCATAGCCTGTGGAAAGAGAGCGACTTGCTTATTGTGCGCCGGCGCTGTACCCAGAGAACACTATACCGATATATCGGAGAGCCATTTTTATTCTCTGATGATAGATTGGTTTTACTTTGGCAATATAATAGTACCGAAGTTAGAACAGAGCCTGAAAACGGTTTTGGTGGGTTTGTACTCGAACACTTACAGTACCGAGAACATGTCGAGAAGTCTTTCATGCAAATAAAAATGTCAGTTCCATAAGAACATTATAACGTATAAACTACAACATTCAACAATGTTTTGGCTTTTTCGTTTTTTTGTGCATGCATCAATTATAACAGTCACAAATTGTACCGACCATAAAACAAATATCTCCAATACATTATACAACCAAGGCAAATCTAGAATACTACAGTTTCTGAAAGAGTGAGTGAGTTAGTTGGGTTTAACGCCGCTTTTAACAGTATTCCAGTTATATCACGGCGTGTCAGCTTAAGGTGGGAGGAAAGTCCGAAGTGATGCAGGTCTCAGACGTTTACCACTTCGGTGAAACCCACGAGCGCGGGTATGGTGCTGACAAACCTAGAAACATTATCGGGGCGAACAAGGATTCGAACCCACAATCATAGGCTTCTGGCATGTCCAAGGGACGCAACTCTTCACAGCGAATCGCGGCGCCTCAGACGACTGGGCCACCAAATGCCCCCTGTTACTGAAAGAGAGAGTCTCTGAGCAGGGGATTGATACAAGCTTTCAAGAAGGATGCAGAGATGAGAGATGCATATTTTCCCATTCGCCATTGCATTTCTCTTTACTTAAACTGTCGACCTGTGAAGATTCGGGATAGAATAGGTCTTCAGCAACCCATGCTTACCGTAAAAGGCGACTATGCTTGTCGTAAGAGGCGAATAAAGGGGTCGGGTGGTCAGGCTCGCTGACGTGGATGATGCACGTCATCGTATCCCAATTGAGTGGATCAATGCTCATGATGTCAATCCAGACTCGATTATTTACAGACCGCCGTCATATAACTGGAATATTGCTGACTGCGGCGTTAAAACAACAAACAAACAAACTTACACTGTCCCGGGATTGCATATTACACAAACGAGTTCGTGTGCTGAATTAAGGTTATAAATGTGTACAATGAAGCCATATAGTACCAAACCACAAATGACATCATTAACTTTGATTTATTTATTAATCTCAGTTTTGTTTTGAATCTAGGAATATGAGCAGGAAAACGTTTGTCACATGATAATAACCGCTCCCCACAATTACCCAATGCACAATATGAGAACATACACTATATATAGACGCCTTCCGCCGTCGGTCAAAAACGCATCTAAAACAATAATAGCAAAGAACAAATGCAGGTTCCACTATTTAGGTTTCAAAAACACACCCGTGAGGTTTTTGTTTAAAAATGAAACACAAGGTAGATGTATGGGCCTTAGCTATATTTCCTGACTCTTGGTGTTTAGGTTTTCGACCAAAAGCAAGGAGAAGTGTTTTACCTGTCACAGAGAAACAGAAAACACAAACAAATTACTAATTAAAATTGATATTCAGTGAAGTTGAATCAGACCGACATGCACTGATGTTGAACACGAACACTGACGAGTAGCACGTGTTTCACGTTTTACACGAGCAGCACAACTGAAAAAAGGCCAGTGTTTGTGTGAGGATCAGTGTTCCGACTTACCCTGATTTTATCCTCATTTACGTAGTTTTCAAAAATTAAATTTAAATTTAACTTTCATTTCATTTACTCTGCTGTATGACCTGAGAATAAAAGGCAGAGTTAACTATTCCATATATATCTTCCAAGCTGTCTACCAAACAGTACCAATCAGCTTTACTCACCTGGGAGTTTTTTCGGGTATCCAAGGAATGGAATGGAGACGAGAAGGAACGCGATGAATGTGACGAGGACGCCGATCCACCACGCCCCCACCCACTGGGGGTCAGCTGGCGTGAGAGGGATGCTGGGATAGCGGAGGGGGAGCATCACATGACGTGTAAACATTGAATCATATGACGTGTAAACATTGAATCATATGACGTGTAAACACACGTGTAAACATTGAATCATATGACGTGTAATTATTGAATAATATGACGTGTAATCATTGAATCATATGACGTGTAATCATTGAATCATATGACGTGTAATCATTGAATCGTGTGACGTGTAATCATTGAATCATATGACGTATAATCATTGAATCATATGACGTGTAAACATTGAATCATATGACGTGTAAACATTGAATCATATGACCTGTAATCATTGAATCATATGACGTGTAAACATTGAATCATATGACCTGTAAACATTGAATCATATGACGCATAATCATTGAATCATATGACGTGTAAACATTGAATCATATGACGTGTAAACATTGAATCATATGACCTGTAATCACTGAATCATATGACGTGTAAACATTGAATCATATGACCTGTAAACATTGAATCATATGACGCATAATCATTGAATCATATGACGTGTAATTATTGAATCATATGACGTGTAGTCACTAAATCATATGACGTGTAATCATTGAATCATATGACGTGTAATTATTGAATCACATGACGTGTAAACATTGAATCATATAACGTGTAAACATTAAGTGAGTGAGTGAGTGAGTTTAACCCCGCTTTTAACAGTATTCCAGTCATATCGCGGCGTGTCAGCTTAATGTGTGAGGAAAGCCCGAAGTGATGCAGGTTTTAGACGTTTACCACTTCGGTGAAACCCACGAGCACGGGTATGGTGCTGACAAACCTAGAAACATAATTGGGGCGAACCGGGATTCGAACCCACAATGATAGGTTTCTGGCGTGCCAAAGGGACGCAACTCTGCACAGCGAATCGCGGCGCCTTAGACGACTGGGCCACCCGTGCCCCCTGTAAACATTGAATCATATGACGTGTAAACATTGAATCATATGACGTATAATCATTGAATCATATGACTTGTCATTATTGAATCATATGACGTGTAATCACTGAATCATATGACGTGTTATCATTGAATCATATGACGTGTAAACATTCAATAATATGACGTGTAATCATTGAATCATATGAGGTGTAACCATTGAATCATATGACGTGTAAACATCCAATAATATGACGTCTGAACATTCTAGACCACAAAATATAACGACATGAGCTGCACACATACCATCAAACACCGACTGATACACGAGTGTCTGCTTCAGGGATGTTACACTGTGTTGAAAAAGAACTGGAGTATATATACAGGTGTCTGCAACTCACCTGCTCGGGTCAACGGTGTTGATGTCGACAAAGATGCTAAGCGTCTGTCCACCTACCACGTAACCAACAGCGACACCAACGGCAGCAGCGAAGAATGTCCACCCTTGAAAGTAAGCACCTATATTAGCTTAACAGTTACTATCTCCTTGGATGATACATTCCATGGATGGATGAATACATCAATATGGTTGACAGATAACACAGTGATAGAATTCTCCCAGCCAGATCACACACTGTGATACAACCAGCCAGATCACACACTGTGACACAACCAGACAGATAACCACTGTGACAAACAGCCAGATCACACACACTGTGGCCAATCAATATTGGATAGATGAATACATCAATATGGTTGACAGATAACACAGTGATATAGTGATTCTCCCACGAGATGTATAGCATTCAACCACGTCACAGATTGAAACACAATCAGCCAGATCACACACTGTGACACAACCAGCCAGATCACACACTGTAACACAACCAGCTAGATCATACACTGTGATACAACCAGACAGATCATAGGTTGTGACACAACCAGCCAGATCACACACTGTAACACAACCAGCTAGATCATACACTGTGATACAACCAGACAGATCATAGGTTGTGATACAACCAGACAGATCACTCATTGTGACACAACCAGAGAGATCATACACTGTGAAACAAACAGAGAGATCACACACTGTGACACAACCAGCCAGATCACACATTGTGACACAACCAGCCAGATCACACGCTATGATACAACCATCCAGATCACACACTGCAACACAACCAGCCAGATCACACGCTATGATACAACCCGCCAGATCACACACTGTGACACACAAAGAGATCACTCATTGTGACACAACCAGAGAGATCATAAACTGTGAAACAAACAGAGAGATCACACACTGTGACACAACCAGCCATATCACACATCGTAACACAACCAGCCAGATCACACACTGTGACACAACCAGCCATATCACACATTGTGACACAACCAGGCAGATGACACATTGTGACGCAACCAGCCAGATCACCCTTTGTGACACAACCAGCCAGATCACACACTGTGATACAACCAGGCAGATCACACACTGCAACACAACCAGGCAGATGACACATTGTGACACAACCAGCCAGATCACACATTGTGACACAACCAGCCAGATCACACACTGGGACACAAACAGACAGATCACACACTGTGACACAACCATCCAGATCACACATTGTGACACAACCAGGCAGATCACACACTGTAACACAACCAGACAGATCATACACTGTGACACAACCAGCCAGATCACACACTGTAACACAACCAGACAGATCACACACTGTGACACAACCAGCCAGATCACACGCTATGATACAACCCGCCAGATCACACACTGTGACACAACCAGGCAGATGACACATTGTGACACAACCAGCCAGATCACACATTGTGACACAACCAGGCAGATCACACACTGGGACACAAACAGACAGATCACACACTGTGACACAACCATCCAGATCACACATTGTGACACAACCAGGCAGATCACACACTGTAACACAACCAGACAGATCATACACTGTGACACAACCAGCCAGATCACATACTGTAACACAACCAGACAGATCACACACTGTGACACAACCAGACAGATCACACATTGTGACACAACCAGCCAGATCACACATTGTGACACAACCAGACAGATCACACACTGGGACACAACCAGACAGATCACACACTGTGACACAACCAGACAGATCACACATTGTGACACAACCAGATAGATCACACACTGGGACACAACCAGACAGATCACACACTGTGACAGAACCATCCAGATCACACATTGTGACACAACCGGGCAGATGACACACTGTAACACAACCAGACAGATCACACACTGTAACACAACCAGCGAGATCACACACGGTAACACAACCAGCCAGACCACACACTGTAACACAACCAGCGAGATCACACACTGTGACAGAACCAGCCATATCACACATTGTGACACAACCAGGCAGATGACACATTGTGACACAACCAGCCAGATCACACATCGTGAAAACAACCAGCCAGATCACACACTGTGACACAATCAGCCAGATCACACATCGTGACACAACCAGCCAGATCACACATTGTGACACAACCAGACAGATCACACATCGTGACACAACCAGACAGATGACACACTGTAACACAACAAGGCAGATCACACACTGTAACACAACCAGCCAGATCACACCGTTACACAACCAGCCAGATCACACATCATAACACAACCAGCCAGATTACACATTGTAACACAACCAGCCAGATAACACACTGTAACACAACCAGCCAGATCACACATTGTAACACAACCAGCCAGATGACACACTGTAACACAACAAGCCAGATGACACACTGTAACACAACCAGCCAGATGACACACTGTAACACAACCAGCCAGATCACACATTGTAACACAACCAGCCAGATCACACATTGTAACACAACCAGCCAGATGACACACTGTAACACAACCAGCCAGATCACACATTGTAACACAACCAGCCAGATGACACACTGTAACCTCCGTTCAGATTGTAACATGTAGTGAAATGTATAATCAAATGACAAATGTTTTCTTTATATTCCCGAGGATCGAACTCGCAACCTTCATATCTGTAGGTGTTGATAAGCCTCACTGGTTTTTAGAATGTCCTTTTCAAGATCCGTACGCCAGCAACAGATATTTTACGCGCGTTTCCTAAGGTTCATGGAAGTACGTTCAAAGTACGTTCGAAACATAAAAATGTAAATAAATAAAGTTTTAATTTTCTTTTTTCGGTTTATAAGTATGGAAAAACACGTTCCCTCGGTTTTGGTAGACAGAGCATGCCCTGGGGGTCGGGAAAAACCGCGGGGGCTTCGTCCCCCTGGTTTTTCCCTCTCCCAAGGGCATGCTCTGTCTACCAAAACCTCGTGAGCGTGTTTTCTCCAATACGTAGAAAACTGTTCTCACCTGGCGTCCTCTTGGGATGATGGGAAGCATGCAGTAGTTTCAGTGATGCTTTGACAATTTAAAATTGTTCAGTGTGGTATCCTATTTCCCGAAGTCTATGGACATCATTGAGGAGAGTCCACTGATACATACGTGTGAATATTACGTGCCGCGGGTATTTTACATGGGTTTACCTGTGTAGAAGGATGTCATCTTCGTCGTTGTATTTTCATCAATGTACGTCAAACCAATAGTAAACAGGGGGCACGCTCCCACTCCTAGCAACATTTGGCCAATCAGAAACAGGGCGTAGAGAGGGGACGATTTTGATTGGCTAATAGTTTCGGAGCAGGATTCGGAGAGAGACGAATTCAGCAGACAAAGATTAGTCGACGCGTGTGTCATCCCGTTATCTGTAAATTAAATAACATCTGGTCAATTACCATGAACCAAGCTATTCACACGAACGGTTTGTACGAAAGTTGTGTAAGTATGACCTGTCAACCAGCGAAACGTAAACGACACGCAGTTACAGCACGCGAAAAAAGTGAAATTTGTCTGTTTAAAGAAAAAACACCCGTCAGCAAGTTTAGAAACCATCAGTAAGCATTATGGCACTGAAATTGGACATACCATAGGAAAATCGACAATTGGTGACAGTTCAAACTTCCATGACAGACTTTTTGAAACGTGTATGAATACAGTGGATGTATCTGTTTGCTCTGTCATCTGTCATGAGTTGCATAATTGAAGGGAAGTAACTCTTCCAGTAAGAAGCTGGTTTCAGTTATACGGAAATTCGTTTATACGGAAGAATTGTGAAATGACGCAAGTGTCCGTATAAACGAGGCACGACTGTATATGTTGTTTACAACGTATAATTTTGTATAATTCGCAACCGTTACTATTTACATTCGAATATTTAAAGGCGTATACCGCAGTGTTTAGTGACTTCTATATTTGTTTGGTTGTTGTTTAACGCCGTTCTCAGGAATATTCAAGCAATATGACAGCGGTCTCTAAATAATCGAGTCTGGACCAGACAATCCAGTGCTTGATATGAGCATCGACCCACTCAGTTGAGATACCATGAAATACAATCACTCAGCCTGACCACCCGATCCATTAAGGGGGCAAGTGTGTGTGTGTGTGTGTGTGTGTGTGTGTGTGTGTGTGTGTGTGTGTGCGTGCGTGCGTGTGCGTGCGTGCGCGCGTTAGTTATACGTGGGAGGACACACATGATGTTGTATGATGTATGATGTGGTGGGGCTTATCTGTGCTTGAAGCCGCCGACCAGCGGATCCGTGCACGTCAAAGGGACATCACTCTGCAAAGAGAGTTACAGCGTGCCGACTAAAAGATGGATGTATTACTGGAAAGAGTGTACTCGTATTCTCCTCCGATGAAGTGGGGAAGGGCGAAGAGAAGACTGCCCAGAGCCATAACAACGATCCCCATGGCCATTAATCTCGGTTTGTGCCGATGTTCGCCGAAGTAGCTGATGGGAAGGATGACGAGGAATGTGCCGAAGTCGTTGCTACTTGAGATGAGGCCCGACATGCTGCTGGGTAGGGCATATCGCGTTTCCAAGGCAACGATGACTACGTTGATGATGCCGTTAACAACAAAGCCCTCGCAGAAGTTGAAGACACACTGCCAGATGACATGTGCCTGGATGGAGTTCATGCACTGCAAGGCTCTGGCAATGAGAGTAACAACAGACATACAATCACACCAAACAATGCAGGGCGTCGTTCCATTCCCTGACAGTAACAGCAACAATGCTGATTATTAAAGCAACAATGTCTACACTATTGCACCGGATACTACAAGGCCCTGATTATAAAAGCAACAATGTCTACACTATTGCACCGGACGCTACAAGGCCCTGATTATTAAAGCAACAATATCTACACTATTGCACCGGACGCTACAAGGCCCTGATTATAAAAGCAACAATGTCTACACTATTGCACCGGACGCTACAAGGCCCTGATTATAAAAGCGACAATGTCCACACTATTGCACCGGATTCTACAAGGCCCTGATTATAAAAGCAACAATGTCTACACTATTGCACCGGATTCTACAAGGCCCTGATTATAAAAGCAACAATGTCTACACTATTGCACCGGATTCTACAAGGCCCTGATTATAAAAGCAACAATATCTACACTATTCTATCGGAAACTACAAGGCCCTGATTATAAAAGCAACAATGTCTACACTATTGCACCGGATTCTACAAGGCCCTGATTATAAAAGCAACAATGTCTACACTATTGCACCGGACGCTACAAGGCCCTGATTATAAAAGCAACAATGTCTACACTATTCTATCGGAAACTACAAGGCCCTGATTATAAAGGCAACAATATCTACACTATTGCACCGGACGCTACAAGGCCCTGATTATAAAAGCAACAATGTCTACACTATTCTATCGGATACTACAAGGCCCTGATTATAAAAGCAACAATATCTACACTATTCTATCGGAAACTACAAGGCCCTGATTATAAAGGCAACAATGTCTACACTATTGCACCGGATTCTACAAGGCCCTGATTATAAAAGCAACAATGTCTACACTATTACACCGGACGCTACAAGGCCCTGATTATTAAAGCAACAATATCTACATTATTGCACCGGACGCTACAAGGCCCTGATTATAAAAGCAACAATGTCTACACTATTGCACCGGATTCTACAAGGCCCTGATTATAAAGGCAACAATGTCTACAATATTGCACCAGATACTACAAGGCCCTGATTATAAAAGCAACAATGTCTACACTATTGCACCGGACGTTACAAGGCCCTGATTATAAAAGCAACAATGTCTACACTATTCTATCGGAAACTACAAGGCCCTGATTATAAAAGCAACAATGTCTACACTATTCTATCGGAAACTACAAGGCCCTGATTATAAAAGCAACAATGTCTACACTATTGCACCGGATTCTGCAAGGCCCTGATTATAAAGGCAACAATGTCTACACTATTGCACCGGACGCTACAAGGCCCTGGTTATTAAAGCAACAATATCTACACTATTGCACCGGACGCTACAAGGCCCTGATTATAAAAGCAACAATATCTACACTATTCTATCGGAAACTACAAGGCCCTGATTATAAAAGCAACAATGTCTACACTATTGCACCGGATTCTACAAGGCCCTGATTATAAAAGCAACAATATCTACACTATTCTATCGGAAACTACAAGGCCCTGATTATAAAAGCAACAATGTCTACACTATTGCACCGGATTCTACAAGGCCCTGATTATAAAAGCAACAATGTCTACACTATTGCACCGGACGCTACAAGGCCCTGATTATTAAAGCAACAATATCTACACTATTGCACCGGACGCTACAAGGCCCTGATTATAAAAGCAACAATGTCTACACTATTCTATCGGATACTACAAGGCCCTGATTATAAAAGCAACAATATCTACACTATTCTATCGGATACTAAAAGGCCCTGATTATAAAAGCAACAATGTCTACACTATTGCACCGGATTCTACAAGGCCCTGATTATAAAGGCAACAATGTCTACACTATTGCACCGGACGCTACAAGGCCCTGATTATTAAAGCAACACTATCTACACTATTGCACCGGACGCTACAAGGCCCTGATTATAAAAGCAACAATGTCTACACTATTGCACCGGATTCTACAAGGCCCTGATTATAAAGGCAACAATGTCTACAATATTGCACCAGATACTACAAGGCCCTGATTATAAAAGCAACAATGTCTACACTATTGCACCGGACGTTACAAGGCCCTGATTATAAAAGCAACAATATCTACACTATTCTATCGGATACTAAAAGGCCCTGATTATAAAAGCAACAATGTCTACACTATTGCACCGGATTCTACAAGGCCCTGATTATAAAGGCAATAATGTCTACACTTTTTCTGCAAGGCCCTTGCCTATACAAACACCAATGCCTACTCTATTAGACCAGATACTGCAGGGCCCTGGTTGTGAGTCGGACCTACTTGGGTTTGTACTTCCCACAGCCATAGGGTTCAACGTTGTCGCCTTCATTGTCTTCTGTCTCAGTGAAACATCGGAGTGGACAGGAAGGCTGAAATCAAACCAATACCAAGTGACTGGCAGTGTTGACGACTACTAGATTTGGCGCCAACACACTACGCACAATAACAAGATCCGATTCTCTCCGATGGAATCAGTATTCGGCATTGCCTAAAAGTCGGACCGGGCCGGGCCGGGCCAAGACGGGCCAAAGTGTTATTGGATAATTACTTCATTATCGGCGATCATACCTACATATTATTGATGCAACATACACATATGACATTACTGAACAATCACCAACCAAAAACGTGCACCATAATTAAGTATTTCGGAGTAAATCACTTGAAAACCAGAAAGTGGAGCTGTGTGGAAGCGTCGCTGATCTAGGTAACATACAAAAGAGCAATCGTTAAACGAAATAAGATTTGAAACATATCAAATACTTCTACCTATCGTGATACAAATTTCCATCTGTCTGCTTATATTTATAGGAACGTACTATATCTAAGTAAATACCACTTTATAATGTCACTGTTCGTCGTATTTAAAGCAGACACGTTGGTTAAAGTAGACCTCTTCTCCCCATACTCTCAACAGTCTCCGACTTGGCCCGAACTTTCCAAATCAACTTAAACCTCACAGATGTAACATCAAATGGATTCACATCTATAGATTAGTATTATATCCACCTAAATACCACTTTATAGTGTCTCAGTTCGCTGTATATAAAGAAGACAAGGTGCTCAAAGTGAAGCCATTTTCCCTCTACATTCTCAACACAGTCTCTATCAGAAGTGTTTGGCTTGTGCTCGGTCCGACTTGGCCCGGGCTGTCAAAATCAACTTTAAACACACAGATGTATCTTCAAATGTGTTTACATCTATAGACTAGCATTATATCTACCTATATACCACTTTATAATGTCACAGAACGCAGTATTTAAAGAAAACAAGGTGGTCAAAGTGAAGCATTTTTCCCTCTCTATTCTCAACATAGTTTCCATCAAAAGTGTTTGGCTTGTGTTAGGTCCGACTTGGCCCTGGCTGTCAAAATCAACTTTAAACACACAGATGTATCATCAAATGTGTTTACATCTATAGATCAGTGTTATATCTACCTTTATACTACTTTATAATGTCACAGATCGCGGTATTTAAAGAAAATAATGTACTCAAAATGAAGCCCTTTTCCCTCTACATTCTGAACACAGATTCTATCAGAAGTGTTTGGCTCAATTCTCATATTGTTTCCATATCATTATAATACATGTGTTTTAAAATAAACTTGTTATAATGGGCCTTCTTTTTATGTTGAATGTACTTGTGTGTTTTGCACTTATTGTGCATATATTTTGTAGTTTGTGATAGTGTAATACTGCCACTGTTTCTTCCTGGAGTGTTACGCAATACATATCTCATCTTAAACATCTTTGTTGTATGATAGTTTGTTACAGTTGTGTACGAGGGCACGGATGGCCCAGTCGCCTTATGCGCTGCAATTCGCTATGCAGAGTTGTGTCCCTAGGGCACGCCAGAAACCCATGACAGTGTGTTCGAATCCCGGTTCGCCCCGTTTATGTTGTCAGCACTATACCCGTGCTCGTGGATTTCACCAAAGTGGTGAACGTCTAAGACCTGCATCACTTCGGGCTATCCTCCCACATCAAGCTGACACGGCGTGATATAACTGGAATTATACTATTCAAAGCGGCGTTAATCCCATCTCACTCACTCACTCACTACTCTTGTATACGGTTCCGTTTGGTTAGCTGGGTTTGTGTTGTGATTACTTCCGGTTCATATTTGAAGTATGTTTAGAAGAATGTTACTATGTTTAAGCCAAACATCGTGAATATATTATGCAACCGAATTATTTTTCAGGAAAATAATTGCAAACTACAGGCCAACATGTTGATTTCCAATCATCCAGAAGCAAAGAACTTATACGGGTGCATAATCTCTGCAGGAAGTTAAAACAACTGTCAATACAATAAACCATGCAGAACCATAAACCGCCGTATGAAACGGTATGAATCATATTTTACATACAGTGAACTACTTGAAACTGTGCTCAGATCTGCACAGCAAGCACCATACATGTGATTGTGAAGACAACTAATAACAAATTTCTGATATCGAACCCGTTGTTTTACATGTGTTGTTTATTGAACAAAGTCATGCTTCATAGAAGCCTGGTATTTAATCGTGTTGAACAATAAGTTGCAATAGCAGCGTAAAGGGAGAAAGATTGAGTGCGCGTTACATTCTCGCTGGCTGCCTGAATAACATAAGTTACATTGCAAAGGTAGTGCGCAATAGAGCTATTCGGGCAAGGCAGATAATCACTTTCAGTGATACAGCTTGAATAAGATACGATGTACACGCGTGATAAAGCTCTATACTACGCATATAGCTAAAGGAGATAATCGCTCAATGCGCATAGTTTATTCTTACAAAATATAGACCAGTCAACTTTAGCGGAAGGAGATATACACTCTTCGAAAAAAGAAACGCACAGGTAGATTTGTAGTAAATTTATTGTACCTAATAAAGTCGATATATTTGATTTAATATCATAGATACAAAAATGAAATTTTGTAGTCCGATAGTCACATGTTGTCGTTGTACAAAGGCATTGAACTGTCAATTGTCATGTCACTTGAGGCCACAAGGGTGCGCCGAACTCAGTATCTCGTGTGACCGCCCTTGGCAGCAATCATGGCTCTGCACGTCACCAGCTATCAATATACAAAACAGAATAATACATCAAGATGGCAGTTTCCATATAACGATTACGAATTTCTAAGCAACTTAAAGATACATATATCCAGATATTGTACATATCTTTAAGTTGCTTAGAAATACTTAATCGTTACATGGAAACTACCATCTTCATGTATTATAATGTATTGTATATTGACAGATTGTGATTAATTGTTACCAGATGGCTCCAGCTGAAGTAGCAGACGACAAACGTTCCATCAATGGAGAACAGGGTAAAAAAATGTTACAATATGTGCAGGCTGGTCATCATCGAACTCTAGTCTCACCAGTCTAAGATGTATTGAAAAAACAATTAATTCTCAACCATACCGTACAATTAAACCGATTACTCACAGATGCTTCACTTTGAACTCCTTGTTTTCTTTGAATACCGCAGTCTGAGACACTACAAAGTGGTATTTAGGTAGATATGATACTAGTCTATAGATGAAAACACACTTGATGTTACATCTGTGATGTTTAAGTTGATTTTGATAGCCCAGACCAAGTCGGGACGCACACTTCTTATAGAGACCTTGTTGAGAATGTAGAAGGAAAAAGGGCTTCACTTTGAGCACCTTGTTTTCTTTAAATACCGCGATCTGAGACACTATAAAGAGGTATATGTAGGTAGGTAGGTATATAGGTTGATTTTGACAGCCCGGGCCAAGTCGGACCCAACACTTCTGACGGAGATTTTCGTAAGAAAATACAGTAAAAGTGTTTGACTTTAACGGATCAGTTTTCTTTAAATGCGATGTACTGTGACATTATAAAGTAGTATATAGGTAGATATAATACTAATCTATAGATGTAAACACATTTCATGATACATTTGTATGTTTAAAGTTGATTTTGACAGCCCGGGCCAAGTCGGACCCAACACAAGCCAAACACTTCTGATAGACTATTTTGAGGATGTTGAGAATGTGGGCTTCATTTTGAGCACCTTGTTTTCTTTATATATATGAGACACTATGAAGTGGTATCTGGGTAGATATAATACTAATCTGTAGATCTGAATCCATGGCATGATACATATATGAGGTTTAAGTTGATTTTGACAGCCCGGGCCGAGTCGGGGCAAACACGTGACAGAATTTCATGAGAAAATACAGTAAAAGTGCTTGACTTTAACAGACCCATTTCCTTTAAATGCGGTGTTATGTGGCATTATAAAGTTCTAGGTAGATATATTACTTATCCATAGATGTAAACATATTTGATCATACATCTGTGAGTTTAAAGTTGATTTTGACAGCCCGGGACAAGTCGAGCGGGGCACAGACCAATCACTTCTAATAAGGAACGTTGAGAATGTATAGGGAAAAGGGCTTCCCTTTGAGCACCGTGTTTTCTTTAACTACTGCAATATGAGACACTAAAGTGATATATAGGTGGATATAATACTAGTCTTTATGTGTAAAGAATGTTTAGTAAGTTTGAAGTGCTAGGACAGTTATTAAGACGTGTCTTGTCAGCCCTATGACATTCGAAGAATATCCACTTCCAGAAAACATCCTCTGTTGGTTTAACATGAATTAGTAAAGGTTAATTAGGGATGCCCAACACGTTAATTAATGAAAGAAGAGTAGTCAAAACACTGTCATTTCCTGCCCAGGACATCACACCCCTACACGCTAAGGTCGGTGAGAAATCCGATTTTGACTTTTATCATACGTTCCCGCAACATATGGCAAATAAGCTGGGATAAATATGTTATTTTTTTATTGATTTTGGAAAGGTTAGGACAGGAGTCCTCCATTGTTCCCTACTTTCTATTTATAAAACATGTGGCTGAGTTTGATTGTGTCATTCAAATGATTTATAATAGCGAACAAACGTGAAACCTTGACTAGTTTATTTCAGTGTATATCGAACATGTGACAACACCAACCAAATCAAACAACACGGTTGTATGCCTCATACCATTTCAAAATAATAGAGATCTAATAATACAAATTTAATAATACAAACTACATTTAGATTTCTGCATGTTGTAATGACCTACAGAATTAAGAATTGTATTAGCAACACCAACGTTAGAATTAATCTCCATAAACTCCATACCTCTCTCTTTGTAAAATACGAAATAATTACTTAACATATTTTTTTGTAATAATCTGAAGGTATACTAATGACAGTTATATCATAAATTAAATTTTAATTACTTGTCCTGAACTGAAGTAGTCCTCTACACTTTGCATCATATAAGTGAGTGAGAATGGTTTTATGCCGCAGTTATTCTAGCAAAATCACGGCGAGGGATACCAGAAATGGGCTTCAT